GTATCTACAGATAAAACACAAAAACGCCCAGGCCAAAACATTCAAATTCTTATGTACTTTTAGCTATAAATTATTGAAGCCTTGGTTTATGAACTTACGTAGATTCGTGGTAGGTAATTCAAAATGATTAATGAATTGCTTCATGTTGTTGTTAATAAGTACCTAGCTGTTAAACATAAAGTGAGGGTAACGTATCAATCTTAATTTAACGTTGTCTATTAAACAAAATTAAATTAAGATTGATCACCCAACGGAGTGCAATAAACTTGTGATATTAAAATTTGAAATTAAGATACAAAAGCTGAAATTTGAATAATAAGTAATAATTCATGCACTTAAATTTATGGCGCGACAAAATTTAAATGACAGAACTAAGGCTGTTTTTACACGAAGACTATTGTACTCACAAGTTCGAAATTTTTATTTTTATTTTTACATAGAACGAAACTAAAAAAACCGGCCAAGTGCGAGTCGGACTCGCGCACCGAGGGTTCCGTACAAACCTGCAAGGTTTACAAATTTCGTTCATTACGACAATCGAGTCATAACTATGGTATTTTTATTGCAAAATGAAATTCATAACATTACAATGGGGAAAGATGGAGGAGCATAAATTTAAGACGGATTAACTTAGAAGTTTGATTTTTTTACTTCTTAAAAAGGGACAATAGATTTAGGTATTTGGTATAAATTTCAATTTGATACCTTTATTCGTTCGTGAGAAATAAGGTAGTAAGTTTCATTTTATTAAAATATTTTTATTATATGTAATTTTCGCAATTTNCGCAAAACAATCATTCGTAAATTTACAAAAGCTTCTTGCATTCTAATGTGGTTTATCATCAAAATTTTCATATTCCCTTTTGTATACCACATGAAGAGCAAAAGCTTCCACGTTGTGGATAAAAAAAATCTTTTCAGTTACTGTCTCTAAATGTGTTCTACATAACGTAAACTTAGGGGATTGAAAATATTACTTAGTCCTAAGGAAGTCAAAAACATGTAACGGAATCTCCGACTTTCCACTTTAGTGGAGCGATTACAGAAAATAATGGCCTATTAAGTACATGTTTTTTTGTGTTATTATGAAAGTTTAGAAAACTGCCCAGTTTTTAAAATTATTTTGGACCTATGGAAATTCTTTTTTTTTCTCATACATTTCAATTGAAAATTTTAGAATGTTCTGCTAAAAGCATATTTTTTATGTTTCTAGAAAAAAATTTGTATCTTGCATCAAAGATGGGAAGGTGATTATTTTTTTCAAATATCTGCACTTAATAGGCAATCTGTCAAAAAAAAGAAATCTGAGAAAAGTCAACCCAAAAAAAAGATTAAAAAAAAATTAAGCCACTAGGTCCTGAAATTTGAAAAAATCACAAAATTAACGATAACTTATAAACTACGAAAAATCGTAGAACATACATGGGGGTGAAATCGATAGGTCTAGTCCTCACCTATCACCTGCCTTCGGCTTGACACCTTACAAGAAACACCCTGTATTATCCGGGCCCGAGACACGAGAGCAAGCGGGGAAGGTTTATAAAATAGGGCTTTATTACAAAAAAGTTGTAACACTGGTTTAAAATAACATTTACATACAAATAGGTGTTCAACAAGCGTTTCAGTTTTTGTAATAAGCTGTCGGCTATAAGTGCGGATTACACTCTTTCGATTTTCCGACAAAGAATTTTCCGTTTCTTGTAAAGTTAGACCTTTTTTTAACAGTTTTAAAAAGTACGTCAATTTTCATTATTTTATTTAACTGTGATCATTGTAAAGGCGCTTTTACACTGCGCGGAAATTAGCCAAGTCAAAAAAACAGTGGGGTGGGGATGAAAAATGAATGAATTCCCACCCTGCTACTGCTGCTGCTGACTCGGCTAATTTCCGTGCAGTGTAAATCCGGCACAAAGTTTACAATTTTAGGTTTGCATCAAATGCTTTTTATTTATCATAAGCTCTTATGTCGAAGTATGTAATAAGTTTTTAAATTTTAAGGTTGTTAATTATGCTTTCATATACGTACCATAGCCAAATTGAAAGCAATATTTTTTCAAATTATAAGTTTTTTACCTTGAAATCTAACCCAAAATCTAATCTCTACCACTAGACGTTGTAAAATAAATTACATAATGTTTTTCTTATAACTTGAACCCAATACCACATGAACACTGGCTGTAGAACTGATAGGTAACAAGCATTACGGACGCAATAACCAACGGAGCGCATGCAATATGCTGCAAAAAGTGTACGAGTATCACATTACTTCTAAGCAGTTACATGTGCTAGCTTATTTAAAATTTGTATCTTTATTTTGTACTGTTTTATGGGACTAGAAATTTTCTGCATATTTGTCGGCGTAGATTTTATAACACAAAGACTGATATCGTGAAAGAAGTGTACCCAGTTTGTTTGTTTGAGGCAAAAGACGTCCACTGCTGGACAAAGGCCCTTTTCAAGATTTTTCACAACGACCTACCCTACGCTATTAACCAGATAGTCGATGCACTGAGTGTGAGGTGATAGTAGTACATAGTACTACGTCTTTCGGTTCGTAGTCGCCTGCCATTTAGGAAAATAAGACTCGTTTTCACCATCTTATTTTAACCAGTTTAACGATTAACAAAACTCTAAAATCTGACAAACTCCATACTAAAAACACCGTTGTCGATAAAGATACATTAAAATAATATCATGAGAAGACTCGACTCTCCTAAATGTAGATCACTAAATAATATTCTTTGAAGAACAATAACTGTATCTACATATACATTTCAAAATTAATGTAGTTGTAAGATCAATTTTTTACGTGACGTAGGTACATTACGCAACTTAACCTACGTTACACTACGAGTACATGCCATGTAGTTACATAAACATTTCCTATTTACGAGACCATATACCCACCGGATTCCATGGCAAACGATGTTTATTTGTATCCATTGTCCATGGATGCCTGCTGTTTCATACGTCACGGTTTGTAATTTCCGATCCTGAACTCCAAGCTCTCACAGCAGGAGGCGCAATAACTCGTGTTGACTGGACTACGCTGGAGCGTCTTGGAATAACTGCCTTTGTGGTATTATTAATGTTGGAGGTTACAGTATATTTGTGACCGTAAATAGTAGTAGCTATGTTTTTCGAATTTTGTGATAAGACATTTCATTAGCTATAAACTAGCGACTGAGGTCAAATAACAAGGATAAATTATTTAGGCTAAGTTGCACCACCTAACTTTGACCGTAACTATGACGCTAACTAGTGTTTTTTGTATGGAGATTGGCAAATTTTTGACGTTTGTCAAATTTTAAAGTAAGATTAAGACTAAGGCTGAGTAAAACAATTTATAGTCACTTACATATTAAATAGGCACTTACAAGGCAATATGCATCATCCTAGAATGCATCTCACTTAACATCAGGTGCGATTGCGGTCAAATGCCTGCCTTGAAATTATTTATGGCTTAGTGGCTCAGTATTTTAACAGTCACTTGGCAGGCAGATATGCCTAATGCTGCTTTTGATTGTATATACCTACTGAAAAAGTTTTAGATACTGATGCTTGTTGTGACATTATGGCGAATTCAGAGAAACCATTACGGAAAAAGTAAGAAAGGGGATTTCCCAAATTCTCTGAAAATATGATTTCCCGTCACACATTAGTACCATGTAATTCTGTACATTTTTTTTTTTTTTTTTTTATCCACAACGAGGAAGCTCTTGACCTGTATCTCACCTGATGGTAAGTGACGATCAGGCCGAAGGTGGAAGCGAGCTTCACCCGGAATCCTCAACCACGGAGGAACTGGCTACCTTACCTCTAACTGTCGGAACACAATAATGCTGTTAACATTGTTGTTATGGCGACAGACTTAGGTAAGATGGTGGTAGCTAGCCAGGCGGACTTAGAACAAGCCCTACCACCAACCAAACCGAACAGAAAAATCTGCCCCCACTGGGAATCGAACCCGGGACCTCTGCGTCTGAAGCAGGTGGTCTAACCACTAGACCACAGAGGCGGTTAATAAAAAACATACCTACCTACATGGGTATCTACTTAAACGAGTTAAATTCGCGAACTCAAAGTTTCCAATTTCTCAACTTTCTGGACCAGTGTATTGAACAGCATCGGGAACACGGTAAATCCATTAGACTACAACCTTTTTCCTGCACTGCTGCCGTTAATGGACCCACTGTGCGACATAACCGCAGTTCTGTGCGCCCTGTCAGACCTTACACACAGTGGGCGTGCCCTACAACTCTTTGCTGAAGACCAAAGGTTTTTGGTTGATGTGTTACATTTCGTCGGCGTCGTCGAACAACGTCGTATGATCGCAACCGTCAAAATCTGTTTTTTTGCATTAAACTACTTAAAAATAGCTCCTTTATAAACTATTTTTTTAATTTTTCAAAATTCGTAATAATCTTCGAGATACAGAATCGAACATCGACGGATGTGATTATTCTAACACAGTACAAAGACGTGTTTGTGCAAGCGTCATTGTACTTCGGAAAACTGCACATCGTTTGTTGGAATAGCTTATACATTTGTATTCGTATTAATATTGAATGTGATGCAGAATTTCATTTTCCGTATTAGTGTTAAGTTAAATAGTTTTCAAAAAAGTTAAAACAAATACTGAATTTAGTAAAAAATAAAAATAATGGGAATATTATTTCTAACGAGGACCTCACTAAAAGTGATGTTACAATAATAACTGATCAAAATACTAGTGTACCACTTCAGATAAGCATTGGCTATAACATTATTATTATTTTTTACCTAGAATTTCGTCTTTATATCTATAAGTTTGGATACTTTATCGTTTTGATGACTGAAAGTCACAACCATCTCTTTACTAGGGAAGTCAGAGAAAAAAAACTGTGACGTACGTACACACCCGTCGTTGTACTAGGAAGTTCGAAAATAAAAGAAACAGTGTCCTTTTGTTTTTATTTTATGGTATTTGTAGGTTGTTTGATGAGTATAAACATTAAGAATGTTTGGTACAAAATAATGGTTTTTGGTGGCGGATGTACTGAACTTACATTGTTCTAAGGATTTTTGTTTGACGTTTGATCAGAACCATCGTTGTACTTCGGTAAAGTTTGGTAATTTTGGCGTCGGATATACACAACCGACTTTGTACTAGGGACGGGTATTCCAATTGCGTCTTTGTTCGATTTTTAAATTGCTCAAAAAACAAAATAAAATATTGAGACTACAATAATTTGATTTTAATGTGTTTCTTTTTGACGATTTGTTACTAAAAATAAACATTGTGTTAAAAATAAAGTTTTTATTTGCGTATACAGGATGACATCTTGTAATGAGTGAACATCCTTGTAAAGTATTATAGTACATGTCATTTGCAATCAAATTAGATAAGTATTTGCCTACGCAAAACACAATGTAATTTTTCCATACAAAAAATCAAAATAATAATATTAATATCCCGTAGCTAATCTTAAATTTTCCAGCTTTTAAGCTAAGATATAAAAAGCACAAACTATAAACAATAAAAATAAAGGGCGCCCGCTCAGTTTTAATCGGGACACCATGTTAGGATGTTTCGATTAAATGCTTGACTTTTGCCTAGGCATATACCAATATAAATAAATTGGTTACAAAATAAATGACCTGTTATTCACTTATTATACGTCACCCTGTAAGTATTAGGCATGCTTAGAAAGCTTTTCGTCTAAGTTAAATTTTATACTTATTTATTTTTTTCATTTCTAAGTAGCACTTACACCGTCAAATCAATGCCCCCTTTACCCTTTCGAACAGATCCCAACATTATTAAAAAAATGCAAGATCTTATAGGTGATAGTGTTTTTTCAGAATCAGATACCCGGTTGGTAGCAGTCTGCATCCAGTGCCTTCCTGCTACCTTTATGAGATCATCGTTCCGCCTTGGTTTGTGGGTGGATGTCGCACGCTTCGTTTTTCGGTATGCAGCCTACTCCAGAACCTTGGTGCCCCATTGGCCGCAAATTTTGCGTACTATGTGTCCTGCCTATCGTCACTCAGCATGAAAATCTGTCGGGATAAGTCATCGACTTTAGTTTGTTTATGGACCTCCCTCATTTATGATTTGATCTCGTAAAGAAATACTGAACATAACCATTGCTATAGCACGTCGTGCAACTTTGAGCTTCTTTGAGAGCCAACGTTTTGGACCTATAATATCACTGGTAACACACACTGATGGTAGACTCTCCTCTTTAGGCACTTAAGGATTTTGGACGAAAAGATGTGTAGTTTTCCGGATACTACCCAGTCGAGATAGATTCGTCGATTGACCTCTTCCTCGAAATTGGACCTACCTAGCTAAATTGTTTGTCCAAGGTCCTACTTGTCAACAATCTCAAGAATCGAAATCCCAACCGAAGTTGGGTAGGGTGCAACATGGACATTCGACATAAGCTCATTTTGTCCATGTTCATCCAAAGGCCCCGTTGGGATACTCGAATAAGGTCTTAAGTATTGTGTCGAGGTCTTTCAAAGATTCTGCCATGACCATAATATTATTGTCAGCATACCTAAGGTGAGTGTTGTACACATCGTTGATATTTATGCCGAATCCTTTCATTCCAGGAGTTGGACAGGTGAACAGTTTTGGAGATAGGTATAACATATCCCAGCCTTACGCCTCGCTGTAGGGGAATCGCGCTCGTACTCTGCTCCTGTATTCGGGTCGAATTGGTGCGTTCATGTAGAAGTACTTCAGTACCTCAATGTAACGAGAGTCGATACGGCCGCGGTGCAGGGAGAGATTGCAGCACTGCCCAAATCTCGATCGAATCGAAGGCCTTCTCATAGTCCATGAACTCCAAGCATAGTGGTAAGTTATACTCTTCGATCTTTTGCATAACCTGCCGCATTATATGGATGTGGTCTATCTATTCTTGATTTTTGTTAATTTTCTTTGATACTTATTGTCTTTATTTATAAATTAACTAGCTGACCCGGCGAACTTCGTACCGCCTTAGCGTAGAGATTTTCTTAATATTTTTTTCCGTAAGAACCATCCTTGGACTTCCACAAACATTTAAAAAAAAGAATTATCGAAATCGGTTCAGCCGTTCACACGTGATGCCGTGACAACGCGAAACGGGTTTCATTTTTATATATATATAGATTAATAATGAAACCTAACAAACAATGTTTTTTATTTATTTCCTCCAACTTTCTTCAACATCCGACGGGTACTCATGGCAGAAGTTCCGTAGAATACTGACTAAAAGTGACATACGTCATATATTTGATAAAAAAAATTCGCAGAACAACGACGGATTATCACATACATCCTCAAATTGTCCATAAAACAATGACGCATGTGATTTTTACAAAAAACTAAGTATTTCTGGAGATGGGTTCATAGTTTATATAAAATAACATCTTTATGTTTATAACATCCCCAAATTTGAAATCGATCAGCCAAGTAGTTTTTTTTGTAGACACAAAAAACCGGTTCCAAAACTTCAAAACGCTCTCCTGGAAACTTAACATTTTGCAGATACGTCGTTGTTCGACGACGCCGACGATTTGTAAAATTACGCTGCTACACTTACGCCCGTATTCACAAACGATGCTTGATTAAGTGAAGCAGCTAATCGAATAGATTAGAGCTCTGTGATTGGTTCGTGTGTGACCCTGTGCGTCCATGAGTACTCGGAGACCTCAAAGTAATGTTTGTTAAGCAAGCATCGTTTGTGAATACGGGTGTTATTCCCAATACTTTTGGTACACTGTGCAACTTTCTATTGTATTAACCGTGTCTTACACCGCACGTACGCGGCACCGAGTCAATATACCAGCACGTACGGCGCACGATCGGCAAGTGGTGTATTAATATCGCACGGTCGTGACGCTCGGATCGTGTTGTATTGGATAACTAATAATCTGTGCTGGGTGTACCTTCTGTGAAATTCCAGCGTGCAATCTGTGCTACATTATTTAGTAAATGCAAAAGCGAGATGCAGTACTTAAATAAGAATCATTCATAAGACTAAACACAGTTGTTTTTACACGCCTCAACTTTTTTAGGCTAACTTGCACCATCTTACTTTAACAACCTGAAAGCACTGGTTATTGTTATAGTTACGGTTAAAGTTAGGTTATCTTTATACGAAGTGCAAAAAATTCATCCTTCTGCTATACAAACTCATTTTCCATAAGTTGATACTTGATACACCAATAGTAAGAGAGTCTAATGCCCGTATTCACCATCAATCCCTAATTTTTAAGTGACCCCTATGATAAGGAATTGTGTTTAATAAGGGGTCACTAAATAAATAAATAATAATAATAAATTAGGGAATTAATGTTGAAAACGGGCATAATATAACTCTTTTGTCAATGGATCAAGGAGACTCAGTCCATACGTAAACTTATTGCACTACTAAGTTGGTTATTATAGTTGAAATGGGATTGCTGAAAGTGGAAGGTGAAGGTGCAGGCCGAGAGTATAACGGCTATTATCAACTTTTTATAAATTAAATTATATTATAAGCCTCTCATACTCGAGTTAGGTACTCGTACATTCTCCCAGACTGTCAAATCCCAAGAGTCTTTGTTTTCAACCGGCCAAATTCAGCTCTTGCAGCAAAGTTATTTAGTGCCGGAATTCCCTGCAGACAGGATTGTTCCTGTGTCAATTCCCACTGTATTCGGATGGGATTCAGTACGAATCACTCCAAATCCTGCCTCCAGGACTTCCAGGAGTATAAAGAAGCGTGTTGCCAAAATTGCAAGGTGTATAGGCGAGCCAACATTTGATAAGGCGTCGAAGAAAATAAGTTTTTGTGTACGCAATTTTTGTAGAGACACGAGTAATAATTAGAAATAAAGAAAGAAAGAAAGATACATTTATTAATTAAGTGTACACAGTGTCGGATTAAGATACTTGAACGGTCTTTAGCAAACATTAACGTAGGTATTTATTACACATTGAAATGCAACTTGCAACTTTGACGGGTCTTGAATTCGCAGAGGGAGAGAGATGGTATTTATATGCTTGTTTGCACCCTTTTTGGTGCCACCCAAGACGTGATACCCTCTAAGCAATTACTTAACTTGTTTAGGTACTTATGAGTTAATCCGGCACTGAGTGTAATTGAAAAACCAATAAAATTACTCACTAAAATACCACATTTAAGCAATTCCTATTGTTAGTAAATATCAGCATTTTTAGATGAATTATAAAACCAGAACTAAAACATAGAAGGCCCCATCAAAACTTACCATGCACGAGCGACAGCAATGCCTTCCTCTCATTCATTTGTAACCGAAGCATCACTCGCTGTAAAAACTTCATGCGCCCATAAACTGCTTGAAATAGTCCACACTCGTATAAAAGTGAATGGAAAAGTCATAGAAGGATCTTATTTTGCTTTTTCGCCTGTCATGCCGTCTGATCTGTAAGTAATGATTCTAGTGACTTGAAACCTAAGCTGCCGTGGGCATCCTTGGTACATAATATACCAAGGATGCCTAAGTTAAACATATTATTTTTATCCTACTAATATTATAAATGCGAAAGTTTGGATGTCTGGATGTTTGTTACTCTTTCACGCAAAAACTACTGAACGGATTTTGTTGAAACTTTACAGTATTATTGTTTATAACCCAGAATAACATATTATAGGTTATAATTTACGACGATCCGTGACACACTGAATTTCACGTGGGTGAAGCCGCGGGTAACAGCTAGTATTTCTATGATTATGAACCGTAAAGAGGGTATGAAAAATATTTGAAGAAGGTTCCTTGTAGTTTGACTTCAGGCGAAGATAATAATATTTTTTAACAATACTTTGTCTTCAATTCCCCCCTCATCCCTTTAGCTTATCCCATGTCTTTCTATGAATAAAAAACGCAAAATTAAATAGAGTTAACACATCTTTTCTCAAAAAGTTGCTTCTAAGCTTTTCCTTTTCACCACAACACTCGTATAACGACCGTTCGGAGAGCCTTTGCACTCAAACCGTAAAGATTTTATGCAAAAATAATATTGCCACAATTACTCTGTCGTCAAGTCTGCATTACTTGTCTACGGGCCGTAACCCGAACGAGCTGTAAAGTGCAACTAGCGAAGGGATTTAAACCAAGTCTCTTGTTGTCAGTATACATAAATGACTAGCTTTTGCCCGCGGCTACGCTCACGTGAATAGTCAGATAACGATTACATCCACGAAGACGCGTCCCACCAATTTTTGGTCGAGGGAAGCGTGGGTGCGGCGAGTTTGATCCGAGCAATCCGAGCGTCATTATTGTAGTGTGCATGTGTACTCATGGATATTTAGCGTGTACCGATAACACTCAGACATTAGCGGAAGAATGGTGGGGCGCGTCTTCGTGGATGAAACGATCTATACTTTAAGTCATATATGTATAGTCCCCCTTCCAAAACTAGAATTGTTTTTCACTATGTTTTCCAGTGGGGGGAAAACTACATATCATTTTTCAGCGTTCAGTGGGTTGACTCTGAAAGAAATAAAATACTAGCAAACTGCCCCGGTATCGCACGGGCGCAAATTATACACATAACCTTCTTCTTAATCTGAAAAAACTGGATCAAAATTCGTTGCGTTTAAAGATCTAAGCGTACAGACAACGTGAGTGACTTTGTTTTATACACACTCACACGATCCCAAGATCTACATCGCACCGCTCTCTCTTTCTTTCTTTCCTTCTCTCTCTCTCACACACACTCTACACACACACACACACACTCACACACACACACACACACACACACACACACACGACACTCACACACATACACACAAGTAGGTACCTATTTACCAAAGCTATAGTACTTAATTAAAATTGTGTTTGGCACTATCAACTAAATTACAACTGTTAAATTAAATTGGCGGAAGAATTAGCGTCTGTCACAAGTTTAAATGTAACTAGTATAAACTCCTATTATTAAATGTAATTTTTTCGTGAAGATACCATGAGCATTGTTAAAGACACAATAAAGTTATTTATTTTTATTTATTTATTTATTATACTATGTAAAGTTTTTTTTTAATATGATCTTTTTGTTATGCCTTGCAAAAGGTTCTATTAGATTACTCCAGTTGCAAGACGGTGTGCTATTTTTTTGGGATGAGTTGGATTACATTCTATTTATTATTTATTATTATTATTTCTTTTGGTCTCTTCTTTTTTTATTAAATCTGTAAGATGGAGGAACTGTAGGAGGAAGAAGTAATTTCGTGATTTTGTCGTTGTAGGTTAATATTAGGATTAATGTTTATGTAAGTAAATCTCTTCACATTTTCTATTCAGTTACTATCAGTATCGGTACGGAACGTACATAGATATTTAACTGCGTATGTACGGTAATCTGGGCGCACGGCAGTGCCCCCACCAAGTCGAGCAAAAAAGCGGCACGGCCGTACCATCCTTTTCTCGAAGCAATTCAGGTCATTTTCGACTGCCTGCAACTTCGTTGTGAATAAAACTAGAAGGCTGAATTTTCATTAGCTATGCAGGCATTGTAAAGACACGGTATATTTAAAATTTCATTCAATTTGAACCAGTAGTTTAGGAATTATAACGGGTCAAAGTTACTTAATTTTGTCACTCACTGACTCACTGACTCACCGATCATCAAAATTCTAAGGCACTTCTAGCAGACCTAGAAGCTTCAAATTTGGAATATAAGTAGTGTTTGGTGTATGAATTAAGGAAAAACTAAAATATTTGGGGGCACGGTAGTGCAACCGCCAAGTCGAGTAAAATTTTTCAATTTCGGTCCAGTTTTCTAGATACATAACTGCTGTCTACAAAATACAAAAAGAAATGAGATCCCATCAAAAACAATACTTGTCAAAAAAACCAAGTCTCGCAACTCAGTTGTTCTACGGTTTTTTGACAAGTATTGTTTTTGATGGGATTAGATATTTACTGAGCAAATGTGCTTCATCTCAGACCTTACCATCAAATAGGAACTACCTATTAGGAGAAAATAAGGTCAAACGCCAGACTCAGTTCGAAGTAAAAATTATCTCCTACTCTAAGGCTGAGTTGCACCACTTAACCTTAACCGTAACTATGCTTATGCTTACTGCTTATTATGATCGGTGTTTCTTTACGAGATCGAATCAGAAATGAGGAGATTCGTATACGAATTAAAGTACGAACGAACTAGCAAGCTGATAGTACGCAGAACCGACAGCTAATGGGGCAGCAAGGTTATAGAGTGGAGGCCACGTACCGGAAAGTGCAGCGTAGGACGTCCACCCACAAGGTGGACCGACGACCTCATAAAGGTAGCAGAAAGGCGCTGCATGCAGGCCGCTACCAACCGTCCTTTATGGAAATCATTGGGGGAGGTAATGATGATGATAATGATGAGTGCAGTGCGGTTTCCGGAAAAATGTAAGCGATTAATTAGAAAATAATATATTTTTCCTTCACAGTAAGATAAAAAAGAACCCTCTTTTTTATCCGATCCCTTTCCTCGGGAGAGATTCTAAAAATGTCACCGTGAAAAAATTAAATCGCTGTCAAAGTCCGCTAATTTTAGTTTACCTTCTGGAATGTGGGTGGAACGCGGAACGCGGGTGGCACGCCCGGCGCGCGGGATCCGCCGGCTTTGATACCGCCTAGGCGCCTATTGACCTAACCTACTGAACAGTTTAAGTATCAATTTAGATTATAGTAACTTGCTTATGAATTTTGCAACCCCTACTTTTCTATTTTTAAACCGGCAGGGAGAAGTGATCGAGTAAGTTTGTTGCAAAAAATGTAACCACAACAAATGAAAAAAGTGCGGCTGAAAAAAATGTCCTTGAAAATTTCCAAATTAAATTTTTAATACTTTTTCTTCAAAATACATACCTACCTACTTATCTCTACAGATAACACTCAAGAACACCCGTATCTAATAACAGTTTTACCAAAACATTCAAATTCTTCCTGTAGTTTCAGCTATAACCATTACATACGACCTATTCACCATAAGTAATGAGTAATGACCAATGAAGCCTTGAATAGATTCAAGGTAATGTCTTTATAAATTGCTTCATGTTGTTGTAAATAGCTAGGTGCCTTGTTAAACATAAAGTAACAGTAACGTGCTAGCAAAAGTAAATTATGATTCTGAATTTATTGTTCCGAAGCAGTGGTAGGGTTAATACTGGGACGTGTAAAAGTGCTTTTTAAAAGCCTATTTGCAAAAATCAACGAGATATTTTTAATCACCCATTAACAAAATTAGATTAAGATTGATCACCCAACGGAGTGCAATAAACTTGTGATATTAAAATTTGAAATTAAGATACAAAAGCTGAAATTTGAATAATAAGTAATAATTCATGCACTTAAACTTATGGCACCACAAAATTCAAATGACAGAACTAAGGCTGTTTTTAGACGAAGACAATAATCGGACTCACAAGTTCGAAGATATTTTTTTTATTTTTACATACTTAGAACGAAACTAAAAAACGAAAACGGCCTCAAAAAAGTGCACCAAAAAGTTAAATCACAGTTACGTTTTTTATTAGCAGAGGTTGATTGATATTTTTTACCTCTATTTTGAATTAATCCCATCACAATTATTTAACAGCGGCCATGTTTCAGTTTTACACTCGCAAAGTTTCACACGGGAAAATGTCCTGAAAGGCTTCGAGAAAAGTGTGCTTTTCCCGTGTTCCAAGTTAGTTGAACGCCGCACTAGTTCGGTAATTTCGTCAGTTCTCTCACCGGGGGCGTAGCTCAGATGGTAGAGCGCTCGCTTAGCATGCGAGAGGTACCGGGATCGATACCCGGCGCCTCCAATCATTCGGAGTAGGAGTCAGCTAACGTTTTGAAGCGATAAATCAATGTTAGTTTTTAAATCAGATTTAAAGTAACAATTTTTTTTTTATCATTTTTTACCACTTGAGTCTTTGACTCGCGACCTACGCCAATTTAATACAGACCGTATTAAAGAGGCGATTGAGCGAAACAAGGGCTCTAAAGTGTTCGCAAGAGATCTGTCTGTTGGCCAAAGTCAACTGACCAAGCTGAAGACAGAGGATGGCAGAGCCATTTCGTCGGGGCCGGAGATATTGGAAGAGGTCGAGAAGTTCTACGGACAATTATACACGAGTGTACGTGCACCTGTCACAAATCTAGCCGAAGACCCAAGAGCTAGACTGACCCGACACTATACCGAAGATATCCCGGACGTCAGTCTGTACGAGATTAGAATGGCTCTCAAACAGCTGAAGAACAACAAGGCACCGGGTGATGATGGAATCACGGCTGAGCTTTTGAAGGCAGGCGGAACGCCGGTACTGAGGGCTCTTCAGAAGCTGTTCAATTCCGTCATCCTCGAAGGGAAAACGCCTACGACATGGCACAGAAGTGTGGTGGTACTCTTCTTCAAAAAAGGTGACAAAACCTTATTGAAGAATTATAGACCCATCTCACTTCTGAGCCATGTCTACAAGCTGTTTTCAAGAGTCATTACGAATCGTCTCGCTCGCAGGCTCGACGACTTCCAGCCTCCCGAACAAGCCGGTTTCCGAAAAGGCTTTAGTACCATAGACCACATACATACGCTAAGGCAGATTATACAGAAGACCGAGGAGTATAATCAACCACTTTGCCTGGCGTTTGTGGATTATGAGAAAGCCTTCGATTCGGTCGAGACCTGGGCAGTGCTACAGTCTCTCCAAAGGTGCCAAATTGACTATCGATATATCGAAGTGTTGAGGGATTTGTACAAAAACGCCACAATGTCGGTCCGCCTCCAGGATCGGGATTCGAAACCTATCCAGTTGCAGCGAGGGGTAAGACAGGGAGACGTCATATCTCCAAAACTGTTTACCACCGCCCTGGAAGATGTCTTCAAGCTTCTGGACTGGAACGGATTTGGCATAAATATCAACGGCGAGTACATCACCCACCTTCGATTCGCGGACGATATCGTAGTCATGGCTGAGACCTTGGAGGATCTAGGCACAATGCTCGATGGCCTCAGTAGAGCCTCTCAACAAGTGGGCCTCAGAATGAACATGGACAAGACAAAAATCATGTCTAATGTCCGTGTTGCACCCACTCCTCTGAAGGTTGGAGACTCTACACTCGAAGTTGTCGACAATTATGTATACCTGGGACAAACAGTCCAGTTAGGTAGGTCCAACTTCGAGAAAGAGGTCAATCGTCGAATCCAACTCGGATGGGCAGCGTTCGGGAAGCTTCGCCATATACTCATGTCCGAAATACCGCAGTGTCTCAAGACGAAAGTCTTCGAGCAGTGTGTGTTGCCAGTGTTGACATATGGATCCGAAACGTGGTCGCTTACTATGGGCCTCATAAGAAGGCTCAAGGTCACCCAAAGGGCGATGGAGCGGGCTATGCTCGGAGTTTCCCTGCGTGATCGAATCAGAAATGAGGAGATCCGTAGGAGAACCAAAGTAACCGACATAGCTCGCAGAATTGCTAAAATCAAGTGGCAGTGGGCGGGGCACATAGCTCGTAGAGACGATGGCCGTTGGGGCAGGAAAGTTCTCGAGTGGCGACCACGGGCTGGAAAACGTAGCGTGGGCAGGCCTCCTACTAGGTGGACCGACGATCTGGTAAAGGTCGCGGGAAGAGCCTGGATGCGGGCGGCGCAGGACCGTTCATTGTGGAAAACCTTGGGGGAGGCCTTTGTCCAGCAGTGGACGTCATTTGGCTGAAACGAACGAACGAACCACTTGAAAAATAAATCAATAAAAAATTTAAACAAATTAAATTAACGTAAAAATTAATAAATAAAAATGATTTACATAATATTTTATTCTTCTTTTAATAATTTGCACCAATCTAATGTGTCATAGGTATAAATAAGTTACCGACTACAAAAAACTTCAATCAAAAATTTTTTACCTAGAAAGTGTATGAAAAAGTGTGTGTTAGCCAAAGATGAATTTTGCATTTTTTAGGTAGTTGCTGCGATTCTTGTTTGTTAGTTAAGTTGCAAGTGTGCAAGTGCCTTTATACCAAATTAAGTTAACAATAATTACGTTTAATTAAGTAAGCAGTCGCTATTAAGTGCTCTGTAACAATTCGAGTGTAATAATAATTCACTTGTAATTTTGAAGGCAGACTATTCATTAAGCGAAGTGGAATTATTACAATAGTTAATTTTAACCTTTGATTAAATTAATCGATGCTTCAGAGAATCCGTTTCATTAGGCTACCAGCGAGAATTGCTTTTAAGATCGACTATAGTTTTTAGTTCGATGAATTTTCAAAGAAATATTTTAATCAATTAGCTGAATGGCAACTGCGTGACTTGGTCATGACCTATAACTATGACTTTCTTCAAAACAGCGATTTGAGAGTAGTTCGAATTGCCAATGAGTAAAATACTTTTTGATTCGATTATGCCGCGAAATAAAATAAAAATATTTTTCTTACAATATCTATTTTTTTTAGCAATTACAGCAATTACGAAGTCTGTAACTAAACAAAAGTGCTATGGTGACAAGACAAAGGGTTAACCATCTAAGTACATAATTATAAATTATAAACACCCAGAAGACGTAATATATATATAAATAATTATAAATAAACAACTTAAAAAATCGAACTGCTTAAGGCGGGAATCGAACCCACGACGTCGGGCGACTGCTCTTCCATCTGCCGGCAAGCGAAAGGTCGTGGGTTCGATTCCCGCCTTAGGCAGTTTAATTTTTTCAAGTTGTTTATTTATTATACAACTAGCGGCCGCCCGCGACTTCGTATGCGTGGATCTTGTTTTACCCCCTTCATCTATTTTACGCGGTTTAGATTTTTTCATACAAATGTTTTTTCCCGCTAAGTCCCGTTCCCGTGAGAATTTTGCAATATCCTGTTGTAACTAAGCTTTAAGTTTACTAAGGTACCTGCATGCCAAATTTCAAGCGTATAACTTAAGCGGTTTAGATTTTTCATACAAAAGGATTTTCCCGCTAATTCCCGTTCCCGTAGGAAATTCGGGAATTTCTTTCTTAGTACACCTCTACGGTACCTAAGCTACCAAATTTAACCATTGAGGCTGCACACGCGTCGGAAGCTTAAAAATGGAGTAACTTCTCCCGTTTTCCCAAAAATTCCCTTCACTACTCTGCTCCTAAGTATACTATAACCTGCCCAGCCCAGGAGTATGAAGAATAATTGTACCAAGTTTCGTTAAAATCCATCGAGTAGTTTTTGTTTCTTTAAGGAACATACAGACAGACAAAAATTTTACTGATTGCATATTTGGCATCAGTATCGATCACTAATCACCCCTTGATAGTTATTTTGAAAATATATTTCATGTACAGAATTGTACTTATACTTATTTGAACCCATTGAGATTTTAACCTATAACTTTATAGTCCGTTACGAGAACCACGAAGCAAAGTGTGTAACCTATATCAAGTTACATACAATTAGGATCTCCCAACGTAGTTTTAGGTCAACCGCAGCGTTTCCCAAAATTGTACATACCAAGTTTAGACCAATTTGGGATGAAATTATCCTATCGCCAGGCCTATCCTTGCCCTAAGCAACTCATAACATAAGTCTAGAGCCCCATAAATAATGACCAGGGCCGAATAATCGTATTTCTCAGTAGAACAGCGATACGCTTAGGGTTGGAGTGGTTACTGGGTATCGATGGTTTAATTGGTTTACTATCGATAAATAACTTTGAGGCTCGATTTCTGAAGTAGGTACTGAAAATTTAATTCAGATTCGAGCATAGAAACCTAGAGTGTTGCTGAATTTCAATATAATAATATTGTTAAATCACAGGCTTAACTCTATATCTGTTTCAATAGATTTGTCGATAACCTGGAAACTTTTTATTCAAATAACTTTATAATTAAAGCTACTCGTAGATATTACATCATAATATGAAATAACAAATTATTTTTTAGTCTGTACCTACCGTAGCGTAAATATAAATTGAATTATTTTGTCTAAAAGTTTAGTGAGCTTTCTCTCTTCAAGTTCTTGTGTTGCGTGTCTGACAGGGTCCATTAGTGGTTTGGAGTTTCAAAGTAGGTACATAGTTCCAAAATAGAACTAATGACCAACACTAGTAGAAACTTATATTGCTAGGTATTTTTAACGTCACATTACTATCGATGAAGAATATACTTAATTATTTTTATTACTATCGCTATTTTTGATATCAAGCTAAGTATCGATTGGTGTAGTTTATTGCAGCATTACAACACTAGTGTGGACCCCCGGACTCTTTCCTTATTTATGGTTATTTATGCAAGAGTTATCCGATTCCGTGAAATAATAAAGTTATGTATGTGATTGTTTTTATTCTTAATATCTATTAAGCTGTAATTATTTCTGAGTGACTACTTCTTGTTCTGTATTAATTAACAGAAGTTAATTATTCATATTAGCGTAGGTGTTCCTTACGTAAGCATTAAAGGTTATACGAGTAGAATATGCGAAAATAGAATTGGCTAGACTGACTGTCTAGAATAATAAATTTATGAGTGTCTACTTCGTTCAGGTTAACGATAAAATTGTATATTTTACGTTACTAACAATATCAGCCTCGAAGGACCATTTGAATAAAAAAGGTATGTTTTAGGAATGTAGCCAGCTCTTTTCAAAAATAAAAATACGTGAAAATTTATTTATTTTAATTAACTTTGGTTACAATCTTCAAATCGTAACTGAGTTAATTTTGATGTAAAAAGAAGCATAAAAAGTACATTGTA